AAACCACTTGAAGTAGAAAAGGAAATAGAGGTTCCCACCAGTTCGACGTCAGAAGAAGACTTCAAGCCTCAGAAGGTAAACGTGAAGAGAGGTTCAACGAACGGACAGGTAGGGGAAGTGGAGATCGGCAAAGAATGGATCTCGAAGGCACATCAGGACATGGGCGAACAAGTGACGAGTGATCCATTGGAGAGAAACAAGACGAGGAACACTTCCCGGACGTGGTGGGTGGCCCTCGAAACATTGAAGGAAATGGAGGACTGCTTGAAGAAGTTGGACAGTGGAATAGCTCGCAGGCGACGCAATTGGGCCACCCAGCAAAAAGCCGAGGTTAATAAGATAGAGATGGCAAGTCATCTGAAGAGGTCCTGGCAGAGTTTGTTGAAGGATCATTTTGAAGAGGCGATGAGAACATCCTCATCAGCACCGCCACTAATGGCGAATCCCTTCGTTAGAACTGCGGGACAATTAATGTTCACCTGGAGTCTGGTGGGAATAGAGTTGGAGACATTGACCTCGTATGACAGGCTGAAGTTGGGAAGCAAGAAGATGGAGGTGTATCAGGCACTGATGCAACACGTGGCCAGGGACAATTCAGGCTTGAGCCTGGCTAGGAGAAAAGATGCCACATGTTTCTTGAGATGGACAATGTCAATGATGTCTGATAGCACCATCCTGGCATGCCACCAGAGAGCAAGTGGAAGTAAAACCATGGAGAGAAGAGTCTCAACGATCATCTTGAACGTATATCAGAGTACAGGAATAGAGAAAGAAGATGGTTCCAGACTATCCTTAGAGAACCATCGAAAGCTGGACGAGGTACGGAGGTTCTCTAATAAGAAGTTCGAGGAAGAACATGATGTTCACCGTAACCTGGCCTCGTCAGAACAGTACTCGAGACTCAGTGAGAAGGGGGAATACCAATATGTGTCTGGAGTGATGGGAATAGCCTACAATCCCTTCTTAGACTCGGAAGCTGGAGGAGCCCACAGAAACCATGAGGTAGCGGAGCTACTGAAGTTTTGGACAGAAAGGATAATGGAGATAGACGCAGTGGAGAAAGAGGGGCCGAGCCTGGGCCTGATTCTTGAGAAAACACCAGAGGTGATAAGCATACCGCGCTCAAACAAGAGAGTTGAAGTGAACATGGGCGGTGGAGATGGCTTGTTAACCACGAACTTGGGAGTGATATGGAAGCTACTAAGACCCTCCTGGTGTCCACATCCCCATGCGAGTCTAATCGAGGAAACCACCGAGCGAGTGAGGTTAGCACCAACGGAAGATGAAGATCTGGCGAAGTTGAGTGTGCTACATAAGCTAATCACACCCCAGATGCAAGAGCCAAGCGAAAGGACGAGCGACCCCGGGTCAGCAAAGAAATTGGAGCCGGGTAGCTGTCTGGATTCGACGTGTGGGAACGGAGAGCACATCTGCGATGGACGGTCATGCGTCAGAATACTGTCGTTTCAAAAAGAAGACCTGGTCACTTGGTTCGAAGACATCACAGAAAGGGAGAAAAGTGAAGTGCAAATAATAGCGGAATGTTACGCGAGAACCACGGTGAATATAGCGACAGCTCTCGGATTCTTCTCGAGAATGTGTGGTCTGCAGGCACTGGAGAGACTGGAGTCTGAACATCATTTAGTGACGGCGTTGAGCGTAGAATCATGGCCCGGGGTGTTGCAGGTGACTCAAAAACACATCCGGAGCTGGAAAGTTGGTCTTGAGGCGGAAATGGGATTTCCCTTGAGCGAAGCTTATGGCTTGCCATTGAACGCGAAATCGCTGATAGGGTCAATGATGGCCAACTTGTGCGGAAGTCACTACCCGCTACACATGACGATGGTGGAAGTGTCCAGCCAGAGAATACTGGTGGACAAGGCCTTCTCAGTGCCCAAGTGCGTGAGGTTGGCTCGGATATCGCATCACTCGCACAAGTTGTTGAGAAAAATCAAAGGGACGGTACCAAAAGAATTGAGAGATGACTTAAGCGAAATCTGGGGAGAAGATCTTCTGAAGTTGGAAAGAGAAAACACGAGCGATCACGAGAGACAAAACGTGATCGGTAAACCTGTGGGAAGTACTCCGAACCTGGAAGACAACGACACGATGCACGAGAAGATGATGGAGCTTGAGCCTCTCTTGGAAGCCTCAGGGGAGCGTAATCTCAGGAGCATTGAGATCTCTCATGGGGAATGCCCATGCCACTGTTTGGCACAAACGGTGTGGTATCCAGATCACAAGAACCTTTGCCTGGTGTGGGATGTGGAAGAGATTCGGTCGATCGGACTACCGGATCACCGGCAGAAGGTGACGCTCTTAGTAGTGAGTACGATGTTAGCTCTGAGATGGATAGAAGAGAATATAACGAAATATCGGGAGGCGACGACGCCAACGGCTGAGTCAATATACGCGATAGACTACAGCAGGAGACTTGAGTTGTTTGAGACTGCGTGCAAAGTATTCGCCATACCGACGGAAGTCAGGCACGTATGGAGTCGCTTGAGGTACTTTCCATGGTTTCGGGCGACACTGACGTCTTGGCTGTACAGGGCAACGAAAGATCACATGAGAAAACATCAAAAGGAGTATCGACAGTTCCAGGCCGAGATTGGGCCGGAAGCTTTCAAGAGACCCCTGCTAACCCATCGTAATGCGATCACGACGGGATGGAAGAGAGTGGGTAAGATGTCTAGAGACAATACCAAAGCGAGGGAGTCGATACTAGAGGAAGACCTGGCGAAGAACGTGAGCTTGAGCCTGCACAACTCCTTTTGCTTGAACCGAGAAGCTAGGGTGAAGGCACTACCCAACCAAGCAAAGAGATTGCAGGAGCAGAGAGAATGGATGCGATCCTATGAACAGCTGAAGGCTTGGGAGGAGATTGTGATTAGTTCCGATGATGAAGAGGAACTGTTGAGACAGTTTGCCGCATCTAGCACTTCAGGATGCAGTACCTCCAAGGCGAAGAGTACGAGATGAAGGGGCAAATCGGATGGATCTTGAGTCTTGAGAGGGAAAGGGGGCTTGAGTGTGAATCCGAGTGAAGCTTGGATTCACGAAAAAGAAATTTTAACAAAGCAAATATTGTTACTAATATACTATATCTATTATATAAATCAAAATGCTGCATGACAATTTCCTGATTGAATAGGACAAAAGAGATTTTTAAATGATTGGCGTGAAAAGCGAAAATTCAAAGGTGCAGGTAAATGCAGATTTTGATTGCTGTTTAGCAATAGTGTGAAAATTTTAAATGGTCGTGAATTTTGGGGTGTAGATAATCTTAAATCTGCTGCAAACTTCTGTAAATGACCACTGGCACTGTATCTTGAGCAACACTCGGTTTTTCTGGGACTCACTGGCAGAAGACAGCGCGCGATGAGGACATCGATCTCGAGTCCGGGGAGTATGTGCCAGTCGGTCATATTTGGAAGTTTGACCTTGAGAAGAGCAGAAAATACTTGATTTTGAAGTGAAATTTAATTTTTCAAAATTTCGAATGGAACATGTCATGCACGATTTTCTCGCGATAACTGAAAATCAGAAAAAGAAATCAGAACAATTTTAGAACAATTGCGGGAAAGTAGTCAGATAAAAACGAGTGGGAAATTGCTATTCGCAATTTCCATCATAGTGAACAAGAGTAGAGCTGTCCTATTCGAAACAGAAACCAGCGTATTCCCACGAGTTGGATAGTCGTGTCTGGAGTTCTTCTATTCTAAAGCTGGACCAGAGTGAACCTTCAGCGGAAAGGCGGACAACTAGAGTGTCCCAACGGTCCATGAGAACTCAAATTCTAGAGCATAGACTTATCCTTGTCGTACAAACTATAAAACATTAAACTTCTTTTAGTTATTTATTTCTTGAGTTAGTTACCAACTGGATCATTTCCCAATTCTTGAGCGTGCTGCTATGTGAGTACAAATTTAAATTCTAGAGTGTGTTTTATAATTGTTATGTTGAGGTAAGGCGAGTTTTAGGTTGATCCATCTGAAATGGATCAAAGTTCCACTGTCTAATAAAAAGTAACTTAACGGATTGTTCCAACCCGGTTTTTAACGGCGTTTATGTATTTTGGGTATTTAGAGACCTAAGTATGGGGACGTTTCTAATTCTAGAGTGGGGGGATATTTTAGTAGTAGCCTTTAAGCTGTAACGGGTCGTAGTCTCATGTCACAAGCGAACCGAACTGGCTCCGACCGTTCTTGAGGTGGAAAAACACAAGAGATAGTGTCCCTGACCCTTGAGCCAGTGGTTATAGGGCCTATTTTTCTTGAGCCTCATGTGTGACTGTAGTAGACGAATGTTACATAGCTGGAAAAGTTGACATCGACTGGAGAAGCCATGTAAGCATCACTGACGTTGGAAACCGAAGAGCTCAAATGACACGAAATTTCGTCTGCAAACAAATGCGTCTGAAGAAGTGCGAGTCGGATTTCTGGTTTCGGGCATGTCGTCTTGTTAATCTGTACAACGAATACTTCAAATGTGACATATTGTTTGACCCAAAATGCAAAAACAGACTTCTAGGAATGTACACAAAGTTTTTCAAAACTCGCTACAACGAATCAGATACATGATGCACTTGGCGCATTTTATGCGACTGCAACAACTGTAGATACCTGAAGAAACTTACACTTATAACTGAAAACTAAACTTTCAACAATGCAATGACTGGGTTTTATGCGAACCCTTGGATTATATTCCTAAATCCTTTGTTATTATTTTTATGATTATTATTTTTATTATTATTATTATAGTTGTTTAAATTTGATTGGTCAAAAAGTTTTAAAGCAATTTTAGACTCAGTTTTCAGATCTTTGATCGTTTTGTAAATATTGTAAAAAATTTTAATCCTGATGATGCATAGAATGTGCGAAAACGTTTGAATTAACATTTTAATTTTCTTATTGAATCATTTTGTTAGCTATAATTTTGCGTTTAAGTTTTTAATGTTTTCTTTTATTCCGGAAGGAAGAATAAATATATATTTTTCAGAAATGGGCTCATGTACAACATTTTCCAAAGTTTTCATCTTCCTCGTGAACTTCCTCTTTTGGGTTTGTATTCGGTTTGAAATTAAATGATTTCACTCACGTTTAACGCAAGTTGGGGTATCCAATTATATTGTTGATTTTAGCTGATTGCGGGAGTGCTGCTTTGCATCTGCACGTTTTCAGTTTTACAATATTTCTCTACGAAATGCGAATTCGCTAACTTCTATCTGCTGATACCTCTCGGCATACTTGGAGTTGTTGGAGTTCTTCTCTTCCTGAATTCCTTTATTGGATGCTGTGGGGCAGTCCGGGAAAGCAAATGCTGTCTCTCCATTGTAAGATTGTATTTAAATTGTATTATTAAGTCGTCTTTTTTGTTAAGTTGTTGAGGGGCGCGTGAATTTTGCTCTTTTGACTTCATGAGCTCGCATTTGTATTTGTTTCAGTTCTTCACACTTACGTTCTGCATCTTGTGCTTGGAGGTGTCAGCAGCCGTGCTCACCTTCATATTTCAACAGACGGTCCTTATGACTTATTTCTGATTACCTTAAAATATTCTCAGAAAATTAATTTTCATGTCTGCAATAGAGTTTGTTATTTTTAGATCACTGACACGATAACAAATGATTGGAAAGGCACCATCGAAACCTATGCACCAAACTCAGAGTGTTCTGAGATCATGGACAGAATCCAGTCAAACGTGAGTGCAATCAAATTTGCAAAGTCGTTTTTTCTTAAATGAAGAACTCATAATGTCAGAAGCGCAATAGGCTAAAATTTCAATAAACCATCTAAAGTTTCTAACATACATCAATATAAATTCAGAGACTTTTTGCTTCTTGCCGCAAGGAGAGCCAAGCTACAAACGGTAGGCTTATTGTCATTTCACTATACGAAACTATCGAAATGACGTGGAACTGATAGTAGCAATTCTTTTCAAATGTGACTTGAATAATCAATCAAGTTAATTAATATTGAGGTTTTTTTAGTTGACTTGTTGTGGCTGCGACAGTTATTTGGACTGGTCAGATGACAGCACTGTTTGGTCTTCGAGTCACAAGGATGAGTTGCCGTGGTCCTGTTGTGCGGAGGAAGAGCAAAAGACCTCTGATAACTTCACATTCTGCCCCATGCCGTCTGATTCTTCGACCGATTCACCCATTCCCAAGCATCTGCAGGCTAGCATTCAACTTAAATGCATTTTGTTTTTGCTAGTGCTATCACCCTGTGATAATGATAAATTCGAGAAAAGAAAATTTCATGGTAGATATAATGGATTAAATGGTTTGATTTCCAACCTTTCTCGATCGATGTAAACCTAAGAGAGTCGGGACGGACGGCTTTAGAGCGATGACGAAAGGACTTAATTTTGATATTTCCGGAAGCGTGCTTCATGCTTAACATCTATATCTATCTATTCTATACTATATTTAAATGCGAGTGACAGCTATCTCCCATGTTTAAGCATAATAATTTTGCATGTTTAACGAAAGACTTTTTTCATGTTTAAGCTATATCATATATTGCAATGCTTAAGAAAATTTTTCAATTAGTTTTCCGCAAGGTCGTTAATTTTTCAGTATTTTTTTCGAGGCCAAATTAAGTCTGTCTGTATACCTGCTTTTTAAATTAATTTGATTATGTCTGTCTACCCGTCGCCTAATTTTTTAACTTTCATCTATAATCTATTATATATTCCAATGCGGGCTTCACTATCTCGCCATGTTAAAGCTTTTTCAACGTATTATTTTTTTGCATCTTTAACAAAAGAATTTTTTCACGTTTAAGCTATATCGTGTTTTGCAATGGTTAAGGTTTTATTTTCAATTTTCCAGTTTAAATTCAGTGTTTATTTCATCAAGTTTGAAATTAGCAACCCAATAGTAGGACATTGTCATTGTCAGAGTTTTCCCAGGTTTTGCGATTCTGGCCTCCTTATATGAATAACCAAATCCTTTTAGTTTACGAGATAGGCAATTTTCAAAAGTTTCTAGAAAATTTAATTTGAAATTTTCACCCTGTAGTTGGGTGCCTTCAGGGTATTCTCAGGGGTTGCGAACCTTGCCTCCAATTCTCACTGCTCAAATCCTTGTAGTTTTCGAGATATGACGTTTTTTTGGATTTTTTCAAAATTTTTTCAGATAACTTAGATATAAAAAATTTCACAAAACATAAAATTATCATCTCTGTAGTGAGACTCTGTCAGGGTACTCTCAGGAGTTGCGAATTTTGCCGCCAAATATGACTGCTCAAATCCGTGTAGTTTTCGAGATATGACGTTTTTTATGATTTTCTCCGAAGTTTTCAAAAAAAGTTTATTTGTTGAAAAATTCCAAAAGTTTGGAGATCTCAATCCTGTTATTGGAATCTGTGAGGGTACTCTCAGCGGGTTTAGAATCTTGCCTCTGAATATGAATGCTCAAATTCTTCTAATTTTCGAGATATGACGTTTTTAAGGTTTTTTCAAAATTTTTCTGAAAACTTGGGTATAAAAACTTTCACAAAACAGAAGAAAAATCAGAAGTTGCCAGTTTTGCCTCCCAATTTGACTGCTGAAATCCTTGTTGTTCTCCAGATACGACGTTTTTTGTTTCAATTTAAAATGCCCAAATCATTTTTGCTTAGGAGATACGACGATTTTTGTGATTTTTTTTGGAAATTTTCAGAAAACTCAAATTACAAAATAATTCGTTAAAGTGAAATTCCCAGCCCTGTAGTTGTGTACTTTCTAAGATTGCGAATATTGCCATCAAAAAAGACTGCTCAAATTTTGGTAGTTTTCGAGGTGCGAATACCTTTTTTTTAGAAAACTTAAGGTGAAGGTTCTCAAAATTTGAGTTTCCCAACGTTGTAGTTGGGTACTGTAAGAATACTCTCAGGAGTTGCAAATCTTGCGTCCAAATGCGAGTGCTCAATTGCTTTCAGTTTCCCAGATGTGACGTTTCTTAGTGCCTTTTAGATTTTTCGAAGAATAAAAATTTTATGGTTCTTCAAAAATTGTATAAAAAACTTGAATAAAAAAACTTTAGCAAAATTTGTAATTACGAACCCTGTGACTGAATGCTGTCAGAGTACACTCAAAGATTAGTTGTTGAAAATTCGAAGTACCGGAGGTGCGGTACACGCTAGTTATTTAATGAATTTAAAGAGTTCATCAATATGTTTGTGAATATATTTGCAGGGCTGCTGCAGTCAAGTGAAGGATTTCACTGAGGACAATGTGATCATATTTGCAGCTGCTGCACTCTCCATCGCCCTCCTACAGGTAGCACTTATTATATTGTTCTAAAAACCAGCTAAGATCAAATTAACATCCCATCCTCATTATGAAGAGCAATCAATTGCACCCCTGCGGTCGGAAACAAAACCAAGCAAAGATCACTCTCTTCTACTATTTATACTTAATGTTTATACTCCATGCCGTATATTTTGATTTCGAGTTAGAATGAATTTATCGGGGCATTTTCAAGATGCAATTTTGTCAATAAATTGGCCCACATAGTAAGTGTCAATGAACGTAGTGAAGAGACTTATATAGGTAGTTTTGATTTTAAAGACTAAGATGGATTCTGTGTTTAAGGGCTTCGTGATTCTGATGGCATGTGGGCTGATGTGCAGAAGAAAGGAGCAGCTGTACATCCACCTGGACGCAGACATGAGTCAGCCAAGCACTCCCTCCATTTCCAATCTGTGAACACAAACAGAAACAACAGAACGATACTAAATATATGAATAAATGTGATGACAATTGGTGCGCGAAGGCACAAATCTACAATGACTCCACGATCCTAATTTTAAACTCACATCAAGAACGAGATGCTGTCTTCAATAGCAAGGTTTTGGTGTGTTTTAAGGTGCTAGGGTCTGCACATTCTTTTTTTTACAAACAAACTAACAACAACACTGCGAAATTATTGAGACTGAAATTTAGGTGAAGCTTGATAAGAAAATACTCAGCTGCGTGTAAGAATCATTGCTATTTAGATAGATTAATAATGTCGTGTGTCAGATTAGGTTACTAATGTAGTTCTTTGATAGTCGTCGATGCTTCAGTTTCTGTGCTCATCTTGACATGAAATTGTACGTTCTAGTTTGAGTCATACATTATTGGTCATTGTCATGACCTCATTTAGATAAACAAATTTATTTTCTTGCTATGTATTATTTGGTTCTGATGAGGTTAAATCTGCATAAGACGGGCGTTTAAACCGATTTTATTATCTTAACCATTCTATTTTCATGGCATAATAATTTCACCCCATATGTTGCATGACCGAATTGATATGTGTCTTAACTGTTGTAACAGCTACCCTCGCCTTCAAAGCAACCCCTTAATCCGTAATAACAACTTGAATAAGACGTAATATCATTTTTGGGCACTACTTTAAAATCCATTTCTTGCTTTTACTTAAGTTAGTGATGTCTTTAATAAATAAAATGTGAAAGAAGATTTCTTGTTAAAAAGACTGGCATCACTAATTTTTTGATTAGGTTTTAATTTACTTTAATGCTTCAGTGGTTATTTGCAAATAAAGGATAATGGATTAAAGTATATGTAAATCAAAATCATTTTTCTTGGAGCCATTTTTAAGCTTACACCATCTGTGTCTCTGTCTGAAGTAGATTTTAGTGTCACTTTTTCTGGGATCTATTTCATAGTTTCAAAACAAGATCAATTATTTTTGTAATTTGTGCATATTTATCGAGGCTGCTTTTCATTAAAAAATATGTATTCATGATGATGCTTTGGAATCAAACAGTGTCGTATGTGCATGTGTATTTGAATTAGATTTAGTATTTGAACTCATAAAAAACGGTCGGCAGAACAAAATCATTCAAGTGGTTTATATGTTAATTGTTACTACGAAGTTTAACCTTCTGAATGCTTTGGCCGGGTTTATTGATGGATCGACTGTAACAACAAGAATGCTTGAGCCTTTTTTTTACTATACGGCCCAAAATTCGTCTTTTTGATACTTTGTAAATTGGACCATAATGCTGGAATCTGATTTGTTTAAATTTGGCCGCATAGAATTAAACACCCGACTGTTTTTTCGTAATATAAGAGTTATTTAAATGAAAAAGGTTGGAGTACATTTCAAATTGTGTAGTTTAAAGCATCCAATTTAATCCAGTCCAACCTCAAAATGGTCTGATTTTAGTTCTATTCCCATTGCTAGTTAATTGAATTAACTCTTCTCTTATTCTTTTTCTACGCGTAAAAAGAAAATGAGTCCATATAGATTCCAGTTAGTTTTGGTCTAGATGTAGAGCACGCGATTTCGGAAATTAATGTCTGGCGTTCGATCACCGTTGGCACAGTTTTTGAAGACTCGGAAGAAATAGACTTGCACTTGCATTATTATGGAACCTTATTACCCTTGCGATAAGCAAGGGTATTGCAATCGGGTACTAGACTTTCCCGTAAACAACTGTGTCTGCAGGATTTCCAATTTCAAGATCTCCATTTTCAGCAGGTCGCACTCAACTGCAGAAGTCGTTTCTGTTTGAAACTGCAACTGACATATTAGCATTTTGTACATCCATCCTATTTACCCAAGTAAAGGTTGTAATTTAGAATGTTAGCATTTTGAACATCCATCCTATTTACCCAAGTAAAGGTTGTAATTTAGTATGAACTCTGTTTTCCAACCTTAGTCGCAAATATTGTTGCGACAAAATGTGTTCCGCTAATGTTTCTGTTCACAGAAAGGTAAATTTTGAACGAAAAAATTAATTATTTTAGTGGATAGAGGTGGGTTTTTAGTGCAATGTAACGCCTACCTTTACCGCCTAGAAAAGGTTTGTGAAATTTCTGTGCTGCATGCCAGATTAAGTTTTTCGCCAAAATTTTTGTACAATTTTCAACTTATGAGGTATCGGTTTTAATTCTGTCGGCCTTTTTCAATTGTTTTTTAGTATCTGCTCTTTGTGTTAAAATTGTTTTTTTTTAAACGAATTGTAGAATGTTTGATCAATTTGTTCGTCGACTGATTTTTTATACGATTCAAATCATTGGCAGCCTAAATTTTCTATAATGATAACTGTTTTCAGCAGTAGTCTCAGATTTTGAATCGATAAGTTAAGCGCATAATAAAAAAAGTTATTGTGTAAAAATGTCAAATATTTTACAAACGTTTTCTGATACTTTTGTTTCATTCAGTTTGTACAATCACAGGACATAGATTTTACAAATTGATGATTATAACGAGAAAATGAACGAATTTTTTCTTCATGTTTTTGTCGTTTTGTCTGCAACTAATTAAGATTTATGGTTCAAAATTTGACACATCCTAGATGAAACAGTTTGAAAGGACTGAGCTGGGCCAAACTTTGAGAACTCATGTTTCGATTGCGTTAATAAGTCATGATTTTATAAGTATTCTAGAGGTGCTCTTGCTCTGGAATCAATCTCTCAAACAATAGAAGAGTTTGATTTAATTGTCTCAAATTAAATTTTTTGGTAAATTGATGAATTTCACTTACATTTTATGCAATTGAAAAACGACAGATAACAGAATTGAAAAAAACTACGCAGCCCGGCGTCGAAAAACTACTGCTCCAACACGTGCACAGGAATCTAATTAGCAGTTATTTTATGTGTAAATTTCTCATTAGTAGTTATCTTGCGTGCAGTAACAATATGTGCACCCAATTTAATGCTAAAAGTTACCATGAACTTTAAATAATTGTGTCGACGCCGGGCAAAGTAACTAATTCAGTTCTATTATCTGCCGTTTTTCTTTGGCTTAAGGTGTTTATCATTTTCATCAGCTTCCCGAAGAACTAATTTAGGGTAATTGATTCAAGTTCCTCAACTTCTTTGCGAGGATGTTTCCATGAACTAGGAAATTATCTTAAATCTACTGAAGCACTTTAGGTGTTTTACTTTCCCAAGTAAAACACCTAAAGTTATGTGCTGTGAATTATCTTACGAGGCAAGGTAGCCTGCCAAACTGTAGCTATGCGGGCAACTGTAACGGTTCAACTAATGACTTCAAGTTTGTGAAACTAAACCAGAAATCGTTTCACACAATTCTGAACAGTGTGATTTTCGCACGTTTACATATTGATGAACTAGGAAATTATCTTAATTTCGTTAAGGATCTAAGACTTAGAAACAGAACCGGAATGTATCATAATAAACTGGTCCGCCGGCTAAATTTGATAGGATTACTATAAAATTTACTGAGTTTTTAGAGTGGTAGTTAGTCGGCGTTCAGGTTTCCGGATAACTTAGTCCTCCGTCATTCAAGTTCGCTGAGATTTCAGAGAATTTAAAGGTTGATTAATCATTAGTAGACACCGGAAGTTGTCCGAAAAATTGGAACTAAACTATTTTTTTAATGAAAATCTACTGAAGTACAGCTGATAAATTGAAGTTTCACTTCAGTAGCTCCGCGCAACGCTACGCTTCCTTCAGTTTTGTCAGCGTTTTTTTGGGTTGGTTTCTGTCCACGTGCGGACTTTTGTTCTTGGTTTCTCTTTTTGCAGGGAGTAATTCCCACTGAAACAATTCTCGGGTTGGAACCAATCGGCGTCAACAACCAACTACTTCATCTGACATTTCACCGCGAAGTTGTCATATCGACTCTCCACATAACGAAAACTTCATTATAGTCAAAGTTTTGAATGATCCCCATGGAGCAAAACCACGAGTGAAGCAACGACAGCCACATTGACCTGGCAGAAAATTTGGAGATATTCAAACTTTCTGGAGCATCTCATCAACGCGCAGTAACTAGATACCACAATGAAGCAAACGTGATTTTTCAAAATCGGAAGTCTTGATGATACGGAGTAGCAAAACTTGAATCAACATTCGCAAGAAACAGGACCAGCTATCAAAATCCAAAGGCAAGATACAGAAACTGATCACAGATGAGCAGCTTTTAGATGGACGATGAGATCCAAGAAGCAGAAGGTTTGGACGACAAATATGCACAAAACGTTTATCAAATTCAACAATCTCATCCCAGACTCAAAACATCAACACCTGTTTCGACAGGTGACATTCGATCAACAGATGTGAATTGCAACTTACCAAAACTAATTTTGCCTGTTTTCTCTAGAGGATGCATGGAATGGAAATCGCTCATCGACTTGCTTGAAGGAGCTGTGATTTACAACGCGAGATTGCCGAAAAGCCAAAACTACAGCACTTGAAATCATCTCTGACAGGAGTTGAGGATAAACTACTACCTTCCATAACGATTACGGATGACAATTTTGACATCGCCGTTGACATTCCGGAAAAGTGATACGACAACAAGTATTTTATCTTGCAATCGCATTTGCGCGAGATCTTCAAGCTGCGTTCGTTGACAACAGAAATTTCAAAGATCTTCGAACTCTCATAGAAACAACAGAGGAAAACCGACTCGCTTTGCTTAACCATGGACATCCAGTGGATCCAAAGGATATTTTGGTTGTTTTTGTTTCTGACGGAATGACTTACCATTGAGAGAAAGAAAACTTGGGAAATTTCTTTACGAAGAGGATTCCAACGTTACGACCAGCTCAAAAAATTTCTCGAAGAAAGGTATCAAGCTCTTGAAACATCGTTATTGAGATCGACATCGATTGGTATTCAATAAATTGACAAGAAAGGAAGCAACATGACATCAAAGACGCTTCAGACAAATCTAGCTACATTAGACATGGACAAATGCGAATGTTGTGGAAAAACTATCGGTTCTACAGGTGTGATATCTAAGAAAAAAATTTCAATCAGAGACAAATCTCAACTGATCAAATTGAAGCAGCTGTGCTTCAACTGCTTTCGACCTGGACATCGAAGTGAGAATTGTTCTGGATCTCGACGCTAAGAATGTGGACAGAACGCAACACTGTTCTACATCGTGAGCAGAATCTTTTTGTGAAAAATTCAGATACCAAAACACAGCAGACACCAGCAAAAGTTAAGGCACAAGACAAAAATCTTACAAGAGCAGCAGCTCATGAAAGATCTCTGGATGGAGTTTTTCTACAAATAGCCATCATCCACTCGAGATCAACGGAGAAATAGTTCAAGTTCGAGGAGTACTGGATTTAGCATCACACTAACAACTTGATGACAGAAGCAGTTGTTCGTTGTGTACAGATACGCAGACAGAATCAGACAACAAGGATTTACGGGGTTGAAGGAAATGAAGATTGCAACAGCAAGGGACGGGTTCAACTACTCATCTGGCTCTCATACAAAGAACTAATTTCAATAACAGCATCAATTCCTCAGAAGCTAACCAACAATTGGCCGATCCCGGATTAAACAATCCACAGGAAATTGACGTGATCTATCCTTGGAGCAGCACACTACGAGGATCTGATGATTGGAAACAACAGAATCAAAGATCAGGCAGGTTCAATTTATCATCGACTCTCAGTTTTTGGCTGGCTTGTAATTGGAAAACCAAACAGCAACACCGGACTTACTTCACTACAGTAGAAAAATTTTGTCAGCGACGATAGCTACTCAAATCTACAACGTTTTTGGTAAATTGAAGAAGTTCCAGAAAAAAAAACTGTGACACCGGATAAACTTAGACGTGAGGAACATTTAAAAGCAACAACTAAACGCAGGCCAGGTGACTAATTTGTGCTTAAACTGCCATTCAAAGACAAAATTGGATCACTTGGAGACTCATTGCAGCAGACTCGCATTCGACTACGTAGTTTACTTTCGTTCGGAAAAGAAGCCTGAGCTCTACAAGAAGTACAATAACTTCAACAACGAGTCTATCAACCTTGGCCATATAGAGGAAGTTCCAGACAACGAGTTAGTGCTACCGAACTATAACTGTTTCTACAGGCCATATCATTGCGTTTGCAAGGATTCAAGCACGACAGCAAAACTTCGAGTGGTTTTCGACGCGTCAGCAAAGACGACATCTGTAATACCACTTAACGACAAACTGAGGGTTGGACCTACATTTCAGAATGACCACTTCAGCATTCTGATTTGCTTCGGAATGCATCAGGTAGCCCTCTCAGCCGACATTGTGAAGATATACCGCCAGGTGGAGTTGGAAGAAGAAGGTAGAGACTTTTTATCGAACCGTGTGGAAAAATCAAAATTCGACAGAAGTTAAGCAATACCGAATGACCAGAATGACTTATAGCCCTCTCAGCCCACATTGTGAAGATATACCGCCAGGTGGAGTTGGAAGAAGAAGGTAGAGACTTTTTATCGAACCGTGTGGAAAAC